GTGTTTCATCTTTTTCTTCTTCTGTCCCGTTTTAGTGTAGCTCCAGCGTACACTGATTGTCTTATGTGGATAAGGCTATTCCGAAAAAAACACTGTAGTCTCGGGGCGAAAATGCGTGTTGCAATGAACCGTTGGTCGAGGGAAAAAGTCTTTAAAAGATTGAAGCATAATTGGTGATTCCTACACTGTGAGTTCCTGTTGTTAATGAGACGTGAAATTGCCAAAAGGCTGCCAAGGATGAAAGGTGCTTCGTGGTAAATCAAATTGGATTCTACTACAGCAACTGTTCATTTCCATGCGTTTTTTCAAGTCTGAAGAAACTGAAACATCGAAGAAAGAGAGGTGGAGAATATTGATAATAATAAAATTTTCTATTATATAAAGACGCAAAATGTAAAATAGTGTCTATGAAAATGACTCTTCAGTGTTAGTGAACGAGTGTGCTGATGAAAAAAGTCCATATTACACCGGCTAAAATGATTATGTTACACACTATTGCAAAGGACGCTTACAGTGTATATGTTCTCTTTTTTGAGCTGAAACTGCAGACAAAGGTCAGGTTGAAATATGCCTTTCATTTCATTAAGATTAATGAACCAACCATGGGTAATACCTCTCTTACTAGAAAATGCCATATAATACAACTGTAATGATTTCTGGAAAGAGGTCTTTGCAATGATTAATAAAAAGACTGTGCAGGATAATATGCCTCTTTGGTGTAACTATAGTATCAACTATTTAATAACCAATTTATTTCTAAATGCCACATGATGCAATGCAATTAAAGTGAGATCACATGATCAGAATATGTAGAACCTTAATGGCAATAAGTCATATGATCTTGTTTTCCCCAATAAAGATAAACTCTAAAATGTTATTTTTTTAGTGGACAATGCCTCACTAAGAGCATTACCGGTTTGTTAATTTATGGACTCGATAAACTTAGGAGTCCTAGTAACTCACTATAAAAATGGAGTAACTAATAGTAGGTTATAGCATGGAATAAAGTACTATAAAAGAGTGATATCATGGTAAATATAAAGATAACATAAAGGTATATTTATTTCTCAATTTTAATTAGGCCTATGTGTTGATACATATGATTTACAGTGCATGTTTTTTTTTCACAAATGGTTGTCCTATATTAAACTCAGGGTAATATACTGATGTTGATGCTATATTCGTGCACAAAATGTGATTTGACATTTCAAGTTTATTGCATACCTTAATATAGTGCTCCGATTTAGTCGAAGTTGGGATATATTGCGTAGGGTCGTAATATAAAATATGATAAAGGTACCAACAGGAGTACCTAGATGTAATATCAGATCTCAGAGACCTTATATTTACTTTGATAGATGATTAGGTATTAAAAAGGAAAAAAGTACAATGTCTACAATTTTATTTTTAGTTTCCCTGCTCTATTATCTTTACTTTCTTCATCTATAGAGAACATACAGTTATTAACATCATTACCCGTATACATATTATTTTTATGAGTATTACCATTATTATCCTCACTATTATCAATATGAATACCATCCTTACAGTTATGAATTATTTTCCTATTTATTATCATAACTGTTATCAAGTAGCTATGATATTTACCGATTTATCATTATTGTATTATTTTTTATTTCAATATTCGTGATTTGTGTATCAAATTCTAGTACTATTTCAGTTTACTACTAATGGTATTACTATAACTGCTGTTACTTTTAGGAATGTCATCTTAACTAGTATCATTATTGAGTTTTTATCAACTAAAAAATCATCATACAATCAATATCATTACTTATATCACTTTTGCCATTATCACAATAACAATAATAGACATTAAAATTAAACATCATCATTCTCAATATTAGCATCATTATTGTTGTTATTGTCTTTATTGGCTATGTTATTGTTGTCATTATTACCTTTATTATCATTGTCATGTTATTATTGTTAACATTAGAGTTATTATTCTCATCCTCATTGTTATTATTACCGTCATCATTGTTATCATCATTACTATTATCTGTATCACCATTATCATAATTATCATTATTGCTAATATAATTGCTTTTGTTATTATCATGATGTCGTTATCACTGATATTAATAACAATAATGATATCAGGAAAATAATAACAATAGTAATGATAATAATAATGGTATAACTAATAATGATAATTACTATGATAAAGTTAGAAAGAATAAAAGCGACAATAATAATTCAGGATGAAGATAATAATATTAATACAAATAGCAAAAATAATATTTTTCATTGTCATTTTCATTACTTGTAATGTTTTCTTATTTTTATTTCCATAATCTATGAATACGATCCTAACTATCAGTATTATTAACATCGTCATCATTATTATATGTTGTCAGTTCTATTATTATTAAAGTTTTATTATCAGAAATGTTGTTAAATGTGGGTCGATGTTTCCGTAGATTTAACACAGCCGTATTGAGAAATAGACATTATCTATAATGAATTGTTGGTCATGCATGTCTTATATAATTCGTGTCAAATACAGTGCGTTAAGAAAGCAAAACATAATTTAAACTTTGCTTGCGTTTTCCTTCCTGTAATGACTGCAAAGGATGAGATTTTTCCTTCTCGCTAAGGTGGAAAGGAGAAAGCAATTTTCAAGAAATTTCGCGACCGTCCTTCCTTTTTATCTCTATTAAAAGTTTTTCCAATAATAATTCTGTTAAGCTGGACAGAGATTGCCTCCTTGCACTTTCTCTGCAAAGTAATATCCCTCCGGAAGGTTGTCGATTTTTTTTTTTTTTTTCCTCATTCGTCCATCTTTTTTTTCTTTTTTTCAGGCTAACGAGATTAGTGACCTTGTTTATAGTGTAAAAGGCCTTGTTTTGATACTTTGGATTTTTTTTTTATTTTTTTTTATTATTATTATTATTTTTTTTTGTCTCAGGTTTAATGAAAAGGCAAACGATAACTTTATTTTTTATTGCAAAAGACACTACACATAGTGGTATGTTTCTGACTGCCAGAGGTCATGTTTCACAGTGAACTCTGACCTTGTCGAGTCATATAGCAAGGGTTTTCGGTCTCATCCCTCCATCATTAGTCTTTAGGAGTCTTCCTTTTATTTACCTCCTTCTCTCTAACCTAAACCTTATAAAAGTTTTTTTTTTCCTTTCACTTTAAGCTCCACACGTCGTTCGTCATGATATCTGTTACACTTTCTTGGCAATCTAACGCCAGTGTTCATGAAAGGATCGGAAAGGGACACACTGTGGATTGTATCATATCAAGTAGCTCATTCTCATTCTTGTCCGAAAGTGTTACATATCCGTTTTCTTTTCCTGATACTTTCCATATATAAATAATTGTCCGCTTGTTCATATATGCTTTCGTCTTTACCTCGTTCTTTAATTTTCTTTCCTTAATAATTTCTGTCACTAAAGATTCTCTATTTATAGTCGTTTGGTAAATAACATATTTTCGAAACCTGGGATCTTAGCACAATGAACTTGTTGCTTCACTCGTTATACCTGAGGCGATCATTTTTTTCTTGATTACCTCTGGGTGTCTTTCTTTCATCTTTACACCGTGGGTATTTTATTTATATATTTATTAGTTTCTTTTGCGAATGAAAGAATGTTTAACACTTATTTGGTGAACAATGGACACTTGATGGAAAACATAACACAAACGAATAGAAGAACTTGAAATGTCTTGCGAGTTTTCATATTTCCACAACCTTTCTTTTGTAATTCTAAAGGTCATATAATGCAGTTTTGTTAAAACAACACTTTGACAAAACATATAGTATTAGTTTATTAGTTTCGTTCTTATATTTTCTCTTACCTTTCGATTCTATCGAGAGTTTATATATATATTATATATATTTGTTTCTCACTTTTTTTTTCATTTCTTAACCTTTCCTTAGGGTGTTCGTGACAAGTAGGTCTCACTTTATCATAGTAAGATATAAAACTGCAAGATTTTCACCATACATTGATATCAATCCTGAGCTAATATTTCTTTTTTTCTTTTACACATTAGACTGCGGTCTATATTATATAATTTGATTATCACAGTTTAGGCGTACAAAAACTTCCCATGAAAATGTACAATAAACTGATCTGCTGCCCCCATCAAGAGTAGGAAAAATATAGTTTACATCAATTTTTTTGTATGTTTTTTTTACATTATTATTTTTTGTCATTTCTTTTTTGTATATGTATATATATATAAATAGCTTGAGATATCCACAATATCGGTGGTTGGATCCTGACCACGGACACACGAATACCCAGCCAATCACACAAAAGAAATATTATCATCCTACTCTTTATCGTAATGACTACCATCATTAAGCTTCCTTTATTGCACTCTCTAACCGACCTCTGACGAAACAGATGTCATCACGTGAAACTCATTAAGAGATATGTACGGCTCAAAGTCCTAATTCAGAGGCATTGCTTCGCCTCCCGGATCTCTTTGAAGGGAGAGGAAGGAAGAGGAGGAAGGAAAAGATAAGGGAGAGAGGAATGGGGAGAGAAGGAGGAGAAAGGAAAGCAGAAATAAGAGAGAGAGACAGAGAAAGGGAGAGAGGAAGTGATAAATGGAAAAGAGATAGAGAATAGAGGGGAGGGAGGGAGGGAGGTAGGGAAAGAGAGAGAGAGAGAGAGAGAGAGAGGAAGATACAATAAAATAGTAATAGTGGGGAAATTTGATTAGGACCTTGAGATCCTTTTTTTAATATTCCAAAAGTGGATGAATTAAAAGAATGACATTTGCTTCTTCATTCTCACTTCCTTTACAATGTTTTCCATGAAGTAATATTGGACAGGTAAGAGGGAAAGAATAAGTAGCTACAAAACATATCATTCATATACACACACACTACATATATATAATTAAATCATAAGTCTTAATATTTGAGCACAGCATCTAAGATTTGTATGTTGGAAAGATGGCATTGAGTATCAGACTTCTTCATTATCATCATTTTTACTTTTTCTTTAAAATCATTTTTTTTTTTTTTTTTGTAATGCCTCTGTGATATGTTACAGTTACACAACTGACAGTACACCATATTCCAATTAACTTGAGTTAATCCAATACATATTATTCAGTGAACGTTTGTTCGGAATGGCTCGTTATCCTCTATCTTGCGAGTATCTTTCACTTTCATTTTTGTTTCTACAATTCACTGATAGATCTTGTAAACTCCCTTCCATCACATAAAATATATACAAAAACACATGATGGCAGGTTGTTGATGATTACAAGTAACGTATAATACAATTTAGCAGGTATATAAAAATATTTACATAACAGATTTTTCCTATATAGAATACACTGTATCGGAGGAAAGAAATTTCAAATCAAAAGGGATTTTATTCTGAACCTTTTTCATCGTATCACCAGACGGGAGCAGCAAATATAGACTGATGACACAATTGTTTAGAAGAAGGAAAACAATAGCTGTACATTGTGACAAATTGTAACGAAGGAAGGTCTGAAGTTGCAAATGTGCAACGTTTCTCCTGAAATGTTCACTGTATAAACCCTTTACCCTGTGTGTACTTGAAATGCTTAGTTTTCAAGTAATCTATAATGACTCGGATTTTACTTTTATTTTTTAGGACAAAAATCGTTTCGAAGGAGATGTAAAATTCCCTTGCCTTCGTCTCAATAGTCAAAAAAGAGGAGGTTGAGAGATTGTGCACACGAGGGGAACAGCAGGGCCGCACTCAGCCGGAGGTGTGTGTGCACTTCTCCTACCGTGACGTAAACATTCACGTAAAACATGTCATAACATCATGGATTATGAACCTTACACATCTCCGTATATAGACATAAATTAACAGGAGGTTCCTCTTTGGTTTATATTCATACATGTATAAAATCTCTGGCCTACGAACTAAATTGTGGTAATAATGAAATCACTGAGCCAAAGATGCAGTAGGTCTGTACAGTCAGTCAGAACTTATTATCGATGTGCAATACATACACATTGATATTGTTCAGAAAAAAGTTATGATGTATTACTGATGTATGTGCGTATAAAACAAGTCTCAAGGAGAGCTTTATGGATTTCTTTCTTAGTATTTCAGTCTTACAAAATGGTTTGGACTCCGTAAACCCCTTGTATTAATCAAGCAAACATTTAGCCGATGCAGCACAGTATTTATCCAATACTTTCTTTACTGTTTCATACCAGGAAATGTTACCTTAAAACGTTCCAGTGTATATCCAGAGTATACAACACATTCCGCTTGATGCAAGTGGAGTGTATTGCTGGGTGTGGCGGTAGATTTCACAAAAAATTCGTATGTGTTTATGAATTTGAGATATTCAAAAGATCGCTTTCTTACACATATCAATGTTTAAGTATCAAATCTGAAGAATTCCTTATCAAAATGCGTCTTCTCTCTCTCTCTCTCTCTCTCTCTCTCTCTCTCTCTCTCTCTCTCTCTCTCTCTCTCTCTCTCTCTCTCTCTCTCTCTCTCTCTCTCTCTCTCTCTCTCTCTCTCTCTGTATCTTGGTAAATCGTTATCCTTTAGAATATTTTTAGCACTTTTTCTACACATTACTTTCCTTGTAACAAAATTATTTTGCACATGTTGCACTTATTTTTATTATTTTTATTTTATATATAAATGCCATTCATTTCCTGGACAACTGGACCACACGAACTGTATTAAGGGCATATTTTGAAGTGTCTTAAAGGGACGTCTTGGCAGTCCATACTTCACACAACTACCTTGTAATGAGTCGTTTAAAAACCTCGTCGGGAAAATCACACAACTGCGCACTCGGCAAATGGCTTGACCTTTTCATGAATTAGAGTTTGAAAAATCAATCTTCATAAAGTTGATGTAGATGACAAAGAAGAAAAGAAGTCAAACAGAAACGAACTATAACAGCTGACAGAACTCCAGAGTTTCCCTCCACAGTAAAGTGAGAGCTGGAATACCAATCCACAGCCATCCTTGCAGAGCCACGACCCCTGCAGATCCAGAGGTTCTTCGTAGAATAGCAGCTGTCAAGTCTC